GTCAAAGCCAAGACAATCGAAAGGCTGTTTGTCTCAATTCCCGGCGCACGGTAGTACGATAGGGAGAGGGGAGTACCAACACAAAATAGGAAATGAATTGAGTCGATCCAATTTGGTGAAGTTGCGATGACAATTAATGATGTTGATGAATGACTGAGCTCCTCTCAATCCTATTTTAGACGTTCCTGTGTTAGGTCGATGTGAACACGCGGATTAGGGCTATTTTTCGGATCTGTGTACTGTTTGATTTCATGTACAAGGGAGCACGTATTGTAGAAAGTGGATACAATAATACGATGGAATACAGATGGCGGCAATTGATCAAAAGAAGAGAAGAGGACACTGACTTTGAAAGGAGGGGAAGGAGGAGGAGGAGGAGGAGCTAAGAAGATAGTAAGAGGGAAGGTAGGTAATTGTCAGTCGTCAATCAGTCAGAGTCAACCCACTCAAGTAAGATGTACTGTACGAACATTGTAAGATACAGATTCCAGTATGTGCAAATGTATTCCTTTGTCGTTTCATAGAGTCATCTATCTAACATGATTCTATTCTTCTGAAATATACTTTCAGTTTGATTGATCCAGTGTTGTTCACGGTCTTGCGAACTAGGTTCATTCACGAGTTTTGAGTCTTACCTTTCGAGGCCATAGGCTCATTCTTGGGCTACCCGCTGTGAATATGTGATGCGCGCAATTCATGAATCAAACCGGCGCCAATGGGATGTTTGTAAACTATTAATCAAGCTCCATAAAGTTGTCCTCTTGCATACAACGACTATGATTATCCTGCAACCCTGTCAGATACCTACCATGCCATGCCATGTTTGGTAGTACGAACTCAAAAGATCACGGGAGTATAGGCAATAAGGCTGGTAAGCAAGCTGTCAAACCAACAATGCTGATGTTGTTGGATGATGATGTTGATGACGATGATAAAATTTCTGAACGCTTGAGTAGGAACATTTCGACTTTCATCTTGTCATTCCTCATTAGTATTTTGCTAACTCTCCATAAGGCTATATATGTGTGTTTATATTTCTGTACAAGTTATTGAAAACAGGAACCATCTGGGCCTTTCAATCAATTGAATCATAAACTTGTTTTGTTTTGGGTCATGTCCAATATTACCCCTTTTAGCTACACCTACACCGTCTAATCCGAGATTCCCTAGTCATCTACTAGCCCTGGATTTTTCCTTTTCAATTTTCTTCATTGGTTAATGTGATCTGGTGCTCCACACTTACTGTTCAGCCTTACAAGTTCATTCTCAGGTAACCTCTAAAAGCAATCATGGATGATTTTTGGGACTGTACTACCACACTTTCTTCCACATAGATTTAGCTAGCAATCTCACATATTAGGAGATTATTCATTTAGATTGTTTATTGGAAGAAATCATCGAAGAGGGAGTTTATGGTTAGAAGGTTAGAGTGATCAATAATTACACGAGGGATCACACCAACCATCTGTAAAGTAGAGTTGATTGAACAACAGCTGTTGTTGGGTGTATGTAGTATTTAGCTAATGCAGATTCAAGGGTCTCAATGCATCAATAAGTGAGATCCTTGATTGAGTAGGTACGTTTAAGACAATTTAACAAATGTTTATTACTACTCTTTTTGAATCTCATGACGAGAGTCATTCTGCTAGGTACCTAGGTATTCATGTTAATAGTACTCACTAAGCGAAGGAGAGAATGATCTCAAGGGAACAGAACCCTTTTCGTAACATTCATGGTATTGTGCGGAGTACGAAGGTACATCTTCCGCAATCGCCACAGCTCTAGCTTCAATCAACTGGTTATTGGTACGAGGTTGTCAATACTGAGAAAGTTGTACTGCAGCTGAATGCCTGAGCATCTGCAGCCTTTTGAAGCAAATCTACTGCAAAAATACGGAAATGTTGTAGTCAATATGACAAGTAACTCCAAGTTTGAGATTATCCACAGCTCCCTTATCCTCCATCCTAGCGTTCCATACAAATTCACAAATATCCTTACCCGGCTAAGCCATCCATTCTGACCTGAGAATTTCAGCATGTCGCCTCTAGATGTCCGAATCACATGCTTCGATCTTAGGGATTAAATTGACATTTTGGTATCAACCTTGAAATCGTTAGCGATTGACTTCAGCACTTGTTTCGAGTTATATCCAATACAGTATGGAAATCCGAAGATCTTCAACACAGCCACTGGCACTAGCAGTTGGAAAAAATACTCGAGGCACCTTGGGCACTTGTGTAATGCGGAGAATGAAAAAAAAAACACGCCTAGTTTACGCCATAAGCCCTGCTTAATTCCATGTTATGTCTTACGTATAGGGGAAGAAAATAGGGATTGATTATTCTCCTCCCAGACTCACAAGACTCGTGTCGATCTTCGAAACAGAGGTACAGCATTACTTACTTGCCATCTTTCTCGTTCTCACCCATGATCTCTTAAAGTCATGTTATGGTTGCAATTAATCCTTCTCAAACTTGTGCGCTGAAGTGTAGGATAATTTTCTATTGGATCAGATGCTATGTCGTGTTGCATATACCTCATGCTCAGAACAAGCGAAGCACTCCGTTGATCAATATGTCGATCAATTTTCATTATCCGGTGAGACTGAGGTCGTCTGGAACTCTATACTCCGACGCTCATCAGGAACATTGTGTATCATAAACTTGGGATTGCCTTGGAAACATCAGTGGCGCTTGGAAACTCACAATTTAACTGTCAGTCCTAGCCCTACGTCCCATCAGTGTGTATATATCCACAAGCATGCTAAGGTTAGACAGGATACCTCATGCTCGCGGTCATATCAGATACAAGAACACCGATTCTCGAATAAGACTCATTACCCCGCCTCTCAACTCAAATGCGTGTGAAACGGTCTGGCTGCATCATCTGCAACAGTCTATCCAATACATAAGTATCTCACATCACCCTTCTATATGTAAGTCAAAGATTCAACATTGGTAAGGTCTCTCGACTCTTGTGGTCTGTTGATTATATGACAGACCAGGTATAATCACAATAAGGCAATATCAAGGCAATCAGTCCCAAGATCCCAGTATATGCGGTACGACCATGTTATTGACCCAGCACCTACTTGCGTTACATTGAGATTTCTTCAACGAGCCATGGGCACCATGTCCATTCAGTCTATTGACGCCCTACCTCCGACGATTCTGTGCGCCTCAATCTGGTCACGCAATACAACGTTGGAATTTTCATTGCCATCTCACGCGTGCGAATCATTCATTGCACCCATATCAACAACTCTCGATGCATTAATACGATGTTTTATAATAGAAGATTCATAACAGACAGGGAGTTGGTGGAACGGAACACACACAAATGCAAAGTTACGGACTCGGGAAGCAAAGCTTGCTTGCTTGCATATATTCAAGTAGTGTACGAGGGAGGGCGTGCATAGGAACAGTGTAAGATAAGGAAGGTATACCGGCACGGGGTGAGTGTCAAACATGATCCCCATCAGCCTTTCAAGGCGAAATGAGCTTGGGCGTTGTGTCCTTCATTTGTCCCTTTCTGCTTTCTTTGGTTCTTCATATATATACACACATGTTTGATTGATCCGAGCTCCCCTCTTCACGCCAACCTCGAGTATCTTGCCGAAATTTTTAAGTCTTTCGCGGGCATTAGATGACATACGATACACTACTGTATGTACTTTCTATACATACCATTCTTGATTAGGACCGTAGGATTCAATCCCATGTAGATATCCATATTCAGCACATGCAAAAGAGTCGAGCTTCATGTATTTCACGTAAAACATACGAAAGGGCGAAAAGAGGTGTGCGAACACGTTATGGAATCGATTGTCTATTTTGTAACTTACATGATTGTTTCCGCTTAGTTTGGAATGTATCTGTGTACTTTCCTATTTCAGTGATATATGAGGAACGGAGTAATGTCTCTCCTTACCCTCACTAAAACGTCATGAATAATAGTCAGCCCTTTGACTCCCCACTCTACTCCCTTTCACACTAACCATGCACAAACTCAAGGATCTAGGATCCAACTGCATGCTACTCTGTACCATTTCCCTCGAGCGTACAGTAGTGCTGTGGATGGGGGAGAAACCATGATGTCGGTCCCGACTCTCTGGCCTTCTTTTGAGAGCTTTTCACTGGTGCGTCGGTGCGAGTTGATAGTTTGTATCTATCCTTATAAGGCCGTTTCCATGTCTGTGTGAAAAAACGGAGATGGGAAATTAGATTGTGATAGTATACGGATTGTTGATGGATCGCTTCTGAGGGAGAAATAACGAGTGATTAGCTAAGGATAGATTTCCTTTGCCACTATTGTGGTGATAGATAGATAGATGGATATTAATCTGCAGCGCCGAGTGGTGATGACCTTTTGGCTTCCCCATCCTAGCTAATACGGCTTAACAATGTTTATAAAACCACAATGGTCATGTAAAAGGCAGAAGTCAAAAGTCAAAAGTCAAAATACCCCAAACCACCCCCATTTTCAATGTCAATTCGGCATTTTACTTTCTAACCAATACCGCATCCAACGCAGCCCTGTGAAAAGTTCAACAGATAACTACCTAGTTCGCTCTGATGGTGATCTAAGCTAGATTAATCAGGGCTGAGCACCTCAGACCGGACTAGTGAGCTCCACCAGCCGAGGTATTTAAGTATTTCCTTTAGTGCAATGGGGGTTTGTTCCAACTTCCAGGGGACTTTTAAGTTTGTAGGGGAACGAAAGGTGGGATCAATTGGAAGAGGTGAGGTTTGAGAATTCCAGTACCATCGCTTGCTATTTCCAATACTTTGTCCTCATCTCAAGGATTCCGCATACTACAAGTCTACAACCACAACCACAATCCAAACCAACAATTTAAAGTGATACCCCAAAAGAAAATAAGGTTGAATACGGTAAGCCCGTTGGTGGCACAGCACCACACCCTTTGGAATCTCTGAACCTTACCCGTCGACGTGGATTGAAATCCTGCAATCATACCTTAAATCACGGGTGAGTAATCATTAATCATGCATTTTACCTTCTAGTAATCCGTTTGTACGTTGAAGAGGAGCAGTAAGAGCTACATCGTGATCCTGTTCGGGTTTCGACGAGGTGAAGATGAAGGGGTAACTCGGTAGAGCCGATGATAATGAATGGGGAAGTGGAAGGTGGTTGCGCGCGGGCATTCTGTCGTCTGTGACTAGAATAGTCATTCCTGGGTTTCCCCTCCTTGAGCCTACTTTGCGTCCTGTTTGTCCGGTCAATTTATTAGTTGTGTAAATAATGAAGAAGAGTAGCGTGCGTACAATCAAGGGATAATTATTGGATTCATTCAACAATCAAAATCATCATCCTGATTGCATACTGACACAAACATCTATCAATCCCACTCTCATGTCGTCTATTCGTTCAATCTCATTGCTATCACCAAGAAAACTCGACGCCGATTTCATATAAACACCGGAATGCTTTCCTAATACGGTCAGTCCATTGTCGGGTACTTCCTAGCCCTACAAGGCTTATTCTAAATTGCCCCGAGATTCCGGAAACGTGAATGAAATGAAGAACCCCTGGCAATCAGTGATAGTGATTAGGGAAATTTGATCACATCACATCACATCACATCAAAGCTATGCCTCTGGATTGAGGATAATTACCGAGCCTCGAGCGGGACGAGTAACGCAAGCCTTGCTAATATTGAGAGAGTAGAGGCTCTGCGTGACCGAGTCGTGCCGTCAAAATGCCTACTTTTACTAATGATCGACTACTAGGAAGTTTGTAAAAGTCGGCGACCTGAACCGTTGATTTGAGAGAGGAGGCTATGTCACGATGTTGTGATGAATCATGAAGATGCGATTGAACGTGAATGGTGTGTACTAGATCAGCGTTGCAAGGAAGTGTGTGGAAGTGGGAAATGGCAGGTGGGAGAAGTGAAATGTTGATCACAGATAGACGGGAATCTAGATCTGCTAATTTTGGGTTTAGTAAGTAGGAGGGAGGTGGATAAGCTCAAAGACTCAAAGTTCACGCAGAGTGTCTCGAGAGTCTCAGCCACCATCTCATTCTGCGGGGACGCATCTCGTTTTTTTCGTTCAGGGCTTCATTTGATTTCAACCTGTTATTGATCCCAAAATACGAACGAAGCTGACTGTTATCTTATTAATCTGCTCTAGCATACGAATCCTCACACACCGGTATTGAGGCGAAAATTTGCCTCGCACCAATCACGTTCGTGGCTTGAGTATTGAGAGGGGTTACAAGGAGATCGCATCTTAGAAGAACCAATATAATAAGCATCCAAGAAACTTGATCTTACCCCCAAACCAACGTTTCCAGCAGGATAAGGCTTCAGTATACTTTGTACACAGAAGCTTGTATATCCAGCTTTCCCATAAACGCCCCGATTTGCACCTGCCTAGTTTCTACCCTTACACTCGCCTGCCAATTCGTTAAGTTGCAAAATAACAATGTCCCGTGAGCATGCATCAATCTAAGCGGTGAATAGACCACAGGTGGATGTCTTGAGCAGATCTAGAACAGAGGGCTGAAAAACATTCGGTAGATGGGTGTGAATTACAACCCATGTTCTGATCAGCGGCTGATGACATTGGCGTTGGGAACATCATATAGTATCGTAAGGTACAAAATTGCTGTATAAGGATATCCAATATATTGTATGTTCTGGTATCGTCTTTCATTGACTGACCCGCATGCAAGAGATGAAAATGCCTAAATCTCGAATACGGACAGTACTTTTTTTTTTTTCAATTTTCAGCTAAATGCCAAGTCATCCAGATCTTTCCATTCAGTCAATTTGTATAGGTAGAAATGTTACACAAAACCCATGCTCATGTAACAAATTTTCCGTTTCTTTTTATCCCTTGGCCAACCTTATGAACGCCCGCCTCTAGCGCCTCGTAGCACAGTACCAGGCTCAAGTAAAGTGCGGCCCCATAGGGCGAAAAAGAAGGCTGAATCTCTGGCACACACGCGGGATGTCGAAGCGAAACACGAGGTGTCGTATCACAACACTTTTCCGTTTTTGGGACGAACATCGCCAATCGTCCGTTTATCGGTACGGGGATGATCTGGAGTCTGGATTGACACGATTTTTTTCTTCTCATGATTTGATTGCGTATGCACATGCTGGGTGGTTTTCTTGGCCACTTGTGACTTTGGATTGGACTGGCACGACTGGCCAGCCTTAGTTATTTTGAGTAGGTACAATATGTGTTGCATATGGATAACATCGGGTAGGGCTTTCGGTAGGCGGACGAACGAGGGTTGGTGGCATGTTTGTGCTACGTGAGTTAGATTATCCTCGAGTCGGGTGCTCTGAACCAGACATCATTCACTTACTCATGATAATGTCTTATGTTGAGATCTCTGCGTGTTTGGTGATCAACAAAATCTAAGACAATTCCAACCTTCGGAGATACTACAGCCTGTTGACTGCTGGCACAATAAATCGCGCAACGTTTCGATGTGTTATTGATCATCTAACGAGACATATTGTTGTTCATTTCGGCCAACATTCTCATTCTCATTCCTTCGATTCTCATAAGAGGACTATCACCGATATCAGTAGCACCGATACGAACGAATGACAAACTTTGATGAGTCTAATCATCGTCTATCATGACAGCCTTGTAATTTTCCGGAGATATAAACCTAATAATACCCGAAATCCATCCCCAGTTTCCCCCTGAAAAACTCAATCTGACCTCGTCCACCTTCTGCTGTTGAATCTTCACGGCGGCCAAAGTCCCCAACAGTAAATATTTCTTAGCCCGGACTCGGCCCGATGAGAAGATTCTCGTGCTTGTGCTTTTTAGCCCCAGAAAGGCGTACTCCGAGAGTCTCATCGCATGGATATCAGTGCAGATTCATCTACACAATGCAATTTCGTTAATCATCTCCTGACTATCTTCACGTAAAAGACGAGATGGTCACACTGCCACGACATGTATGCGCACAAATGATACTGAATGTTGCGCACCGGATGTTTCATCTGCGCTCTGTAATCAAACTGCCGAAGCACAGAACAAGACGAGATCTCGTGATAGAAAACACTTTCTCCGCGCAGAAACTTTTTAACTTTATGTTTGATTCGATGAGTTTCAAGACTGATTTTAAAGTTTGGCCTAAGGCAAATTCCACGAGTGCAGGATCGGTAGTCCCGAAATCCCGATATTTAACCGGTAAGGCGGGGTGAAAAGAGCAAAAGAACAATTTGGAATTTTCTAAATGTAGACACAAGCTTGAAGGAAGAGACCACCCTTGAGCGTGGACTGCATACCAATAATATTTCATCACCTGATCTTAATTGACTACCCTCCCCCTTTTTGGCAAGAGGACATTGCTGGTCATAAGCGAGGATTTGAGATTGTTTGACTTGCTATCTTGAGGTTACACAAGGTTTGCTCGATCAAGGTGGCGACGTCAACATCAACGTCAATTGCAAACTCGCCAGATTTGGAAGGCAAACAGTTACAGGAACAGATACAGAAAGTAAGGAATTTAAGACAGAATCTCAAGATGAATATCGAACCTTCGAGGTTATCGGGGGAGGATGAGTTGTATGTTGGGGGGTATGTACATTCACTTTCGACCATCTGCCACGCGCACGTGATATCATTTTGACTTTCGCCCATTTCAACTCACTTCATTTGGGGGATCCCTAACATTTACTATCGTCTGCTGCTCTATGAATGATATAAATGATGGTGTAAGAGAAAGATAGAGCTAACACTAGACAGGATTGTCTCGTTGACTGAAAACTCTCTTCAAAAGAATAACATCACACACATTGTCAGTGTTCTCAAGTATGATTTCAAGAACTTCAATATCGATTGGAACAAGTACAAACATCTCCAGATCGAAGTGGATGATGTAGAGGACGAGAACTTGTTGGGCGAATTTGAGACGACGGGAGCTTGGATTGAGGAGGCTTTGAGGGGTAATGGGAGACTTGAGGGCGAGGAGGGCGAGAAGAAGAAGAGTGCCGTGCTTGTTCATTGGTAAGTTGGGACGCTTTATTTTGTTTGTCCTGAAAGTCGAGAGTCATTCTTATCACTGTAGTAGACACGAACGCATGTAATAGGATTTTAAAAGGAGAGATCAAGTGGTGTTTCTCTGCTCATGACTCCATGATGCTATATTTGAGGAATTCATGTCAAACACTGACACCCATTAGCGCAATGGGACGCTCCCGTTCCGTAACGATTTTAATTGCCTACCTCCTCCGCCAATATCCCTCACTGACTCCCCATACTGCGCTTGCCCAAGTTCAACAAGCACGTCCTTTCGCTGAGCCTAATGATGGATTCATGGCGCAACTCCAACTTTATCACGAAATGGGCTGCCCAAGAAACATAGATGATCAGCCTAAGTATCAAAGATGGTTGTATCAAAGAGAGGTTGAGTTGGCTGTGGCCACCGGAGGACGACCTGATTGGGTCAGATTTGAGGATGAAGAGGAGCAGGATAAACAGAAGGCAGATGGCAAGGAAAAGGAGATCAGATGTAGAATGTGTCGGTAAGTTTTTCCGTTTGTTTTATCTTTACTGGGTTTCATTTATCTGTCACATATCATGATTATTATTCAGTAGGGAAGAAATATGATCATCAAGCTAACAATACCCCAGCCGCAACCTCGTCACAACCCCTTACCTGATACCTCACATACCTAACTCAAAATCCACATCTTCTCTTACCTCCCTCGTTAATCCCCAAACAACACCTATTTCCTCCCTTCCTTCCACTCCCCACCACAACACCTGTACCCACCACTTCTTGCACCCTCTCTCCTGGATGCGTCCAGAACTCGAACTCGGAAACCTATCCGGAAGACTCGAATGTCCAAACCAGAAATGCAAAGCCCAAGTTGGAAAATATGCCTGGCAGGGGATGCGATGTAGTTGTGGGGTATGGGTTTGTCCGGCTTTCAGTTTGTTAAAGGGAAGATGTGATGAGGTCACGATCGGAAAGAGAGTGGAAGGCGGGAGTGGGGGTATTAGGTTGCCTCCTGGGATGAGAGGAAGCGGAGCTATCTCGGAGAGGGAGAAGGGAAATTTGTAGACTGGGGATACGGATTGATCTGGGAATGGTCGATGCTGCCGCGCGCGCGAGTGGACAAAACATGTATACATGTATGTATGTACATATGTATGAATGGATACAACCATGGCACGTTATTGTACGGTACTAGAGAGGGAGTATGAAATGTGATATGATAGGAAGTTGAGAAGACCAGATTGCAGGGCCACCGATATGGCTTGTTCCGCCCTATTCTCTTGGTTGTATTGCACACTATTTACGAGATACATACAATCCACCGCGACCACCTACATCAATGCCTGTATATGCACACACCTAGTTCTAAACATCTTCATCCTGCACATGTGACATTTCAGAATTGAAAACGAAAAGTAGAACAAAAAACAGTTAGAGAAAGTTTCTGTAATTACAATGAATCGGAAATTTCGGAGTGCGAAATTTTCAGTGTCAAAAAAATGTCAAAGTAGTATTTGCGGAACGACCGAGAGGTGATGGATTGGATTGCCTGGCCCTGCTTGTGTAAGGCTGGGTTGTATTTGCGCGGATAGCAGGCGCATGGAGCGGATGATGAAGGAATGGATTTATGAGATGGGGTGTGGGTGCATTTACAGGTAAGCGGGATGATGATTCAGAACAAATGGGTCTAGGTGCTTTATCTGTTAGATTGTGAATCTGCAGAGGGTCAATGGATTCCTTGTACAGCGTGCTGTATGAATTAAGAAACTTTTGTTCTCTATATATTTCTGTCTAGATGTATAAAATAGGGAAAGACCTCGAAAGGGTGACCTCATCATTCCTGATGGAGATGGAGCTTATTTCAGAGACCCGAAAAAGCATTTAGCATATCACATCATATTATTATACATAATGTGGTACGACCTCCTTCCCGAAGTAATAATCCCCTTCGTATGAACCAACTCGTCCAGGATTAGCCTCATCCTCACCACTGTCCCGCTCTCCAGTAAGCCGCACGCTCTTTTCATTCATCCCAGCACTCCACTTACTGTGAAAGACAGCGAGAGGAAATCCTAAACACCCCGTAACGGCGTAGGATTATTGGCTCCACTCTTCACGTATACATAACGTTCTAACTTCAACCAAGCTGTCGGGTCCGTTTATGCTCACATTACATGAGAATCAGGCAGCTATGCAGTAGTGAAGGAAGGATTCTGGTAGCAGGACGGATCGATGTTGACGATGACTCAGCATGAGCGAGGAGGGTGGGACCATATATGTCAGGCTCCGTAAGCGGAATGGAGTTGATGATATAACAAACGGATGCAAAGGCGTACCTCAGGCAGAGAAGGAAGAAAGGAACCGAGCGCGATATTTGAAGTGTAATAGAATGCTCATACGCATGCAAGTCAGCCGTGAAAATGTGATAGATTTACGGAAGGCTTTCTGTTCGCAGCGGACTTTCCGAAATGAACGTTTCACCGAGTAAATACATACATCAATTGTACGTACAATGTCCAGCAGAGCAAAGTTGTGCGGTCTTAACTCTGCAAGACATTGCCGCGTCTATCCAATGATGCCATCGTTTACGGAAGGATGGCCAGGGATAGCATTGCATCGTTAGATATGCGGGGGTAAAAGGATGCTGGCGGATACTCATTCAGCCGTCTGACTACAGGACATGATCGATGAGCATGAGGATAGCATAAGCATTCAATTGGATCTGGATGACATCTTAAGAGCCTTATGACTAGTGTGATCACGAGACTGATCGGTTCAGCAATGCTATATGGTAATTGAGACTAGATGAGCTTCTGGATAAGAGAAGCGAAGTGACAAACGAGTGAGTAGCTGGAGAGTATCGCAAAGTGTGTACCGGGGTGAGTGGCTTCTCCTAAGGATTTTGAAGGCTGAAAATAAGCACTAACAATAAATTTTCAAGCGAAAATAGTGGATATGGAAAACAAATATTGCAGGGAATCGGAAGAAGCTTAGAATGGCTTGAGATAAGCAGGGCTAGCTTTTTAACATGTAAGCACGTATGTACCTTCACGGCGTGTTGTACGAGGTAGGTAGTGGCGGGATGGTACCACTCTTTCACTCCGTTGCCTGGCAAGGAAGATACCGCGCGGTCTAGCCTGATGACTGCCGTGAGAAGTAGCCTGATGAAGCTTTATATACAGGATAGTAAGTACAAGGAGGACTGCCCTGGTGAATACCAACCCATCCATGCTCAACTCCAACTTAGATGCATTGACCGCCTTCCTAACGGGTCGATCATATGCAGTCAGCAGAAGGACCTCAAGAACATACGATGCTGCAACTCTCATTAGTAGTAAATTATATGACGTGTACGAAGCGGGCGTTACCATTTCAAATGACTCCATCAAAGTCGCGTGTTGCATCCCCCGGCCAGTATATCAAGAATGAGTAAAGGTTGCGCGAGGGTGAATGTCTAACTAATAAGACGCTTCCTTGACTCGCGAATGTAAGAACGAATGTTCGTGGCAAGTTACGTCCGAAGCTCCTGTTTCCGAGTGATTTTGCAAAATCAGCACCATAACAAGAAACAATGATAAATCTACGATGGCTCCGGTGGAATCTCTCCCACTTAAGTAGGAGCGTTGATCATTGAAGATGATGATCCCAGCTCAAGGCAAACCTTTAGGGACTTGAGGAAATAAATTCGAATTTTGGAGACGTTCACGATTTCGTCTTGCAACTTCCGCCTGTCTCTTTTTGTCCAGTCTCTGTTGATAGAACGCCTTTTTTAGGGAAAAGACTCTAGGTTCTTCATCTGCTGTTGGACTTGGTGCTGGTGATACAGGAGTGTCTGACTTCTCCTAAAGACACAGGAGAAATATTAGTAGGCTTAAAATTGAGAATGACCAAGTGACCAAGCGTTATGCATGCATACCTTCTCATCAGTCTTCTTCTCGTCTTTCTTCCCTTCATCTTTTTTAACTTCACTATCCTTCTCCTTCTCCTTCTCCTTCTTTCTCTTCTGCTTCTCTTCGAACTCCTGCTTCACACGTGCGATCTCGTCGTCCATTTCTTTCTTTTTCTTAGCAGCAATAGCAGCCTCATCTATAATGGGTGTAGCAAATCCTTTATCCTTTAAATGGGATGGGCATACATAAAAGAAGTCCTAATAAGAATCATTAAGCGATCACTTCAAAATAGAGGATGACAATATCCACCTTGTTCTCTGGGGTTATCAGAACACTTGCACTAGGTTTATAGCAAATCTCACAAGGCTTAGAAGCGGTGTCGGCCACCTTACGATGAGTCCAGATGTTGGGAAACGAAGCCATATTTAAAATCAATATATCAGACAATGCCCTTGTGAATTTGTGCTTCTTCAATGGTCTTCAAAAATCAACTCCTCGGATATTGGGAGAAGCACTCGGTAGATACGTGGTAGAATTAAAGAGGTGGAGAGTTGAGATTTGGATTTGATATGAAACAGCAATTGATGAGTTGTCGTTTACCGTAGTTCTGACATTTAAGGAAAAGGATCTATCACAAGGCGGGCGCTAGCAAGGATTAACGTAGCACCGACCTCCGATACAATCAGGAACCACCCCTCAAAAGATTTTTTAGCTATCACAATACTATTATCAATAGTTTCTTAGCATTCCCGTCCATATTTGGCTTTATGTCAAGCAACCAATACTCACAGCGACGATAAGGTCCTGTACTACATTTACTAATATTGTTGTGATCAATTCATTCGACTTTATTCAATTATGGCTTCAGAACAAGTTAGAGCTCCAGGTAGCAAACCTGGAGAGAATATGTTGTGGGGTGGTCGATTTACTGGTTTGTTTGACTCATATGTCTTTGATTGAGCTCAGTTCTTACTGACACTTCAATAGGTGGTCTTGATCCGCTCATGGTTTCTTATAACGAATCAATCTACTACGATCGTGCATTCCATACTCAAGATATTCGGGGTAGTATTGCTTGGGCTCGTGCAAACCACAAGAATGGCATCTTGACTCAAGCCGAATTCGCAGCAATTGAGTCCGGATTGAAGCAAGTTGAGGAAGAATGGGTTGCTGGCACATTCAAGATCATTCCTGGTGTGGACGAGGATATTCATACTGCAAATGAGAGAAGATTGGGCGAAATTATTGGCAAAGAGATTGGAGGGAAATTACACACCGGAAGAAGTCGAAATGAGCAAGTTGCAACAGATATGCGATTGTGGCTTAGGGATGAGCTCAAAAAGATTGAGAGCTTCCTAGTCGATTATTTGAAGGTTGTGGCTGCCAGATCAGAGAATGAGATTGAACATATCATGCCAGGATATACTCACTTGCAACGTGCTCAGCCCATCAGATGGAGTCACTGGATGTTATCATACGGTTTGGCTTTTGCAACTGATCTCCAAAGACTGCGAGAAGTTATCAAGCGAGTCAATCGATCGCCATTAGGATGTGGTGCTTTGGCTGGTAACCCTTTCAATATCGATCGTGAGGCAATGGCCGAGGAGCTTGGTTTCGAAGGTCTTTTGTGGAACTCTATGTCCGCAGTTGGCGACCGTGATTTTGTCGTTGAGACAATGCAATGGGGTGCCACTCTCATGTCACATTTATCAAGATGGGCTGAGGATCTCATCATCTATGGTACCGGTGAATTTAGCTTTGTTCGTTTGGCCGATGCCTACTCCACAGGAGTACGTCCTACCTCCCAAGACTTACATAGACTCTTGAACTAACATTGATAGTCATCTCTGATGCCCCAAAAAAAGAACAGTGACAGTTTGGAATTATTGAGGGGTAAATCCGGCAGAGCATTCGGTCAAATGGCAGGTTTGATGATGACCATCAAGGTATTTCTCCACTGTCATTTGGCAATATGACAATATACTGATCGATCATATTAGGGTCTTTCAAGTACTTACAACAAGGATCTCCAAGAGAGTGTGGAGCCAATGTTGGATCACATCAAGACAGTTGGAGACAGTATCCAGATCGCAACCGGCGTTCTCAGCACGTTGACCATCAATCCAGAGAAGATGAAGGCCTCGCTAGACCCATTCATGCTCGTAAGTCAATTCAAAGATATAACTTGTGGAAATTTTTCTCGAGCCTAGCGTATCTTGGGAGTGCTCTCGCTAATCAAGGGGATCGTTCTTAGGCCACCGACTTAGCAGATTATTTAGTGCGAGCAGGTGTACCATTCAGAGAGACTGTAAGCAGCCTTTCATTTTTCAGTGGCCTTCCAACTTCCCAGAGGAACGATTAAACAATTGCTAATAATGAAAATAGCACCATATCTCTGGACAAGTCGTCGCATATTCTGAGAAGACTAAGATTCCAATGGATCAATTGACATACGATCAATTGAAAAGCATTGATAGCCGTTTCAAGGAAGATGTTTCCGAATGCTTTGACTATGAGAAGAGTGTAGAAGCACGCCAAGCGGCTGGCGGAACCAGCAAGTCAAGCGTTGAGGAGCAAATCAAGGTGCTGAAAAGCATTCTTGGTTGAAGGTTGAGGGTTGAAGGTTCAAGGTCGAAATGTTGGAGTATAATGAATCGAGCTGTTCAGAATATTTTGCGCCATACAATCATCTAGTGCATTGTTAGTGTCAATGCTAGATCTGCGGGTTGCAATTATTCTGTAATAGAAACTCCACACAAATAAAAGTTAACGAGAATAATTGATACCATAAATACATAGAATTCAGGAAATGTAATGTTCGACCTTTGCCATATCTAGTGTTGTTGCCATTGCCATTGCCATTGCCATTGTGGGTTCTCTCTGTTGTTATTGTTTTTTCTCTAATTATGCTGTCCCTGTATTTTCTGCATTATGAGAACTTTCAAGGGGAATCAAGACTGCAGCTTTTCTCTTTTGTGTCCCTCAATGAAAAAAAAGGAGGTCAAAAACCGCTGTTGACCTCTTCAAAATGCTCTGAGATTTTTGAAGTAGAAAGCCAAACTCTATGTGCTAGAAAAATTTCTGCCCGACAGCAGTTTGGAGCAACAGAATACTCAACAAGTTGTCCATCGAAGTAATTATGCCTCTAAGAAAGATGAGATAAAAGAGGTTATGATGCACCCTTGGCAAAGTAGAGAGAAGACAGAACTTGTCCTAAATTCTACATTATGATACAGTCTATTGATACTGATGCGTATCCATCTATTACTTCTATCCCATTTCACAAAACACTGAAGTTTGCTCTCTTCGGTCTCCAAGTTCATGTTTCTGACAGCACTCAGCCTGAATCTTCTGTCGTTATCTATCAAGCTCTCTAAACTAATCACAAACACAAAATTCATTCTCAATCTCTTCAGCTTCCCATCGTTCTCACTCTATTCTTGATAATTCACTCTCTTTCGATTCTCTCCTCACATCACTGGACTTTCTGAATATGTAAATCTCCATTCAATTTTTCAGATCTATACAGAAATTTGGAAATCCTGAATATACAATCAGAACCTTGAGAGTGTTTCGAATATTTGAAGGAAAGGAAGCTTGGTTCCTTTCTTCAAGCCTAGATTCAGGGCTGATGATGGGAGGGGTTAGCTAGAGGTGCGAGGGAAAGTGCGGAGAGGTGCAAAGAGATTTGGTTTGGGAGATTAAATAATTGTACTCTAAAGTTACTTTTCTATTAGCAACGATAATCTAACAAGTTCACTCCCCTTATACATCTATCCAATACCTGAAATTTTGCAAAATGCTTTAGAATTTATACATCTAGACTTCACTAGCAACTCTTCTTAAGATCTGCCTTTAGTTGGTTTAGATCAAAGCCAAAAAAAAAACATTTTGTGAAGGATTGGTTCGTCCAGGATCAAGACAACCTTTTAGCTTCAAAACTTCTTATGTGACGTTTTTCTGCTCACTTTGTACTCTGATTTTAGAAATCCGAGAAGATAGACTTAGCAAAATCGATATCTTCTCCTAGCAAAATCTGACATCGAGTATTGAATGTGCAACAGTGAATCAACACAGCCATTTCAATCAAAAGGCCAGTGAGTGACCCGAAGAAACCCCATCCATTTTTGTTTAAGAGTGTCCACAGGTTCATCTTTTGCAAATTACCAGCATTCTTCTTTAAAACTCAGCAAATCCTTCACCCTCTTTTCGAACTTGTTTGATCACACAATTCACAAATTTTTTAACAATTCTACAATTCGTTTAACTTACCTGAGTTCTCATTGCCTTTCTTCTATGGTCTCCATGTCTAGACAGACGATCTTTAAATTCAACGCTTAATATTGCATTCGATTGTTACTTACTGCATAACTTTGGCTCGCGGTAATCTGAAAGCTTTTTCGTCGAAGATAATAATTCGCCTCCACTGACGGCTCAAATCCAGCTTACAGTCAACTATCAATCGCGCCGCTTGTTGCTACCTGATCGATATTTGCTGGTTGCCGGTTTCACCATGGATACTTATAATGAGGGAAGAGTTATTCCAGCACATGAGAGAAAAATTGCAGAAAAAGTGCAGAGAAAGGTGCAGCGATGTTTTGAAAAGCAAACTGGCACGACCTTGTCCGTCAAGGAGGCGCACTGGCTGGATTGCATCTGTCGAAAATGTCCTCCGCTGGCAAGAAATATGGCTAAGGATACTGAAGTCTTCCAAACTATATCAGGGAAAGCTTTTGAAGCTGCAAATTCTGTTCAGAGTCTTTTCTTGACTGCACGCGAAGTCGAAGCCTACAAATACACATCTCTTCGTGGTGCGTTCTACGCCAAAGCACGCTCGGAAAGACCCGCAGACGACATACTCATATGGTTCTATATCTTTGAAAGAACATATATCGACGGGACCCATTGCTTGGATTATCAACGGGATCCATTTAAAGATTACAGCGAGAATGTAGGCATAAATTTGTTAGCAGAATTTGCGATTGCTTCAAAACCCTGCTTTGTTGTTCCAGGAGGAAGAGAAGAGCTTGCGAAAGAGTGGTATCTATGTTCAGTTTCAAGTCTTGAAAAGCTCGAGGATGCGAAGCTTTGGCAAGTCAATGCCACGTTGAGCAGCAGGGAAGCGCGTGTTCTTACCGCTCTAGATATATCATTACCGGTTTCCAAAGAGTGCGAGGCAAAATTACCAAGAAACGCAACCAGAAAACAACGCATGGACATGGCTGCATTTGAGCCTGAAAATTATCTCCCCGGATATCTGTACCATCGCCTGGGCCTAGCTGTGAAGAATGACACCGATATCACATTTACAAGCGACGAGGCTGCAACACTCCTCATAATTTTAACAGGCAACCCAGTCCCAAAATCAGACCCGTCAATCGGATCTCCCACAAAAGCTGTCGAATATCACGAAGGAAATAATGAAATAGTCCCACCAGAATGGGTAAGAAGTGCTATCGAAGCACAAGTCAAGGCAGGAAAGGAAGAGCCGAAGAGATTCAAGAACGGGTATCCCCTAACGACAAAGACCCCGGAACAGAGGAAACAATGGCGTGTGGAGGAGAAAGAGAGATTGATAGCGTCAGGTCATACTGAGTTGGCTTTCGTTAGAAAGGAGCCGAAGAAGAAGGTGGTAGAACGCAAAGTTACCATCAATGACATCAGAGCTTTCATCGAAACAAACTTTGAACAGTCGGAAGAAGAACACGAGAAGCCAGAAGAAGAAGCTGAAGATAGAGCTAAGGACGACTTGATACTCTCATTAGGCAAGAAAATCGTGGCCAAAGAACGATACATAGCTGAAAAGGAGACCGAGATGAAGCATCTATATGTTGCTCATGACAATCGAGAGCAAGCACTCAAAAGTGAGAATAGCAAGCTAGAATCTGCATTAGCAACGACGAAAGAGAAACTCAACAAGGCACTGAAAGAACCAGACAAGGTTCGAAGCGAATGGTCTGCCAAGATACAGCGTCTGCACGAAAAGATTTCCAAGCTAGAGACGGAATTGAAGGCTGGACAAGATGCACTCAACATCACAAAGCTGGATAGTGCAGAAACAACCAATAAACTTTCTCGACACAAAGCAGCACATGAACGCTTTGTTGAAAAGGCTACTGAGCTCAAGAAACAACGGGATGAAGCACGACAAGAACGAGACATACTACGTGCTTCTCGCGTCAGTCAGGCTCAACTCGACGACACAAAGGCTAGCGAGATCGCTCGTGCCGTTGAGGAAGCTACCAAGCCTCTGAAAGCTACCATTGTTGCATCGGAAGAAAAGATCGCCACTCTGGAAACAACAATTGCGAAACTCAAAGACGACGCCGTGACTCGAAAGAACGAAGAAGGCATGGCCGCACTTCCAGTGATCAAACAGCTTCTCAATCTCGAAAAAGTACATGAGCGATTGAAGAAAGCTATCATCAGGGAACGCAGTGGTCGCGCACAGGACGCAGTATCTTGGGAAAGCGTCGAGAGTGATCTTCAGCGACAATTGCAAGAAGAGCAATCTGTGTCTGCGGATCTGCGATCTCAGATTATGCAGAAGTCGGATGGGGATACGGCGCTATTGGACCAAATTGCTGTGTTGCAAGAGAGGAATGCGCGGTTGGAGGTGGAAAATACGCAGTTTAGAAATGTGCAGAGGTTGATGCGGGGGATTGGCAGATTGTAGACTCTACGTTTTGCAGAATCGTGGTTTTGTTTGGTTTCATAGGGCTTGGGGATTGGACATGTAATCTTGCATTTCACTCGCAGTTGGTAGCTACCTCGTAATGGGGTTGTTTCTGAGAGGGGCTCAGGATCTGTAGTTCGGGTTTGTACATATTCATAGTGCGCGTTAGATACCCACTAATATTTTCATAGGAGAATTACACACATGTACCTAGTTAGCAATCAAAAATGAAAAAATAAATGAGGTTTCTCACCACACATTTAAGCGAGCATTTCCCAGTTACCTTATTTTCAATATTTAATCAAAAATTCAAATATTATTAGTTTTCTTAATAATTTTCAGAAAAATGGTTGAACTTAATAATAGTAACGATTTATATAAATTTTATTGAAATTAGGGTACTCTTTGTTGTGTTAAAGTGATTCAGGTATGTGATAATGAAAAATCTTAGGAATGAATTGAAAAAAATCTGAGTGTTTTTTGAAGTATAATTAGAGATATATTTAAATCGAATTCATTTTAAATGATATATAGGAAAAAGGTTTATAGATCTTTTATAATGATAATTGAAAAGATTTAATAAATTATTAGGTATTTAAGTAAAGATTGAGACAAAAGAAGAATAGCTTTTGAATAGATTAGAAATATATTAGGGGTAATAATTTTAATGTGTATAATTTATTAGAAATTATATAACGTGGTTTATCAGTACGTATACTATATCAGTATATGCATTATTATTTTTACATACAAAAAACAGCCGTGTGTAATCGTACACTTTCTTTATTTATTGATATAATTTAATTTTTCTTTATATATATTATATTTATCTATATAAATAATATAAAATGAATTAAAATAGTAAAATCTTATAATAATAAAAAAGTTATTTAAAGAAATAGATTTTTGTAATGTAAAGTGTGATATTCTTAAGTTACAATTGAAATATTTATAAAAAGATTAAATTTTATAAATATTTCATTTTTATTATTTATAAGGAAACTTTTTCAAAGAAAAAATAATAATTAATGATTTAAATAAAAATATTAATAAAAGATTAATTTTAGTGTATTTTGAAGTAATACAAATATTAATATAATGTATATACTAATAAACCACGTTAGATATAATTATAAATATTAAATAGTATATTCTAAACTTTTTATATTAAAGGAGTAAGTAAAAAAAGGTTGTATTTTATTAGGTTTTATTAACAATAAGGTATTAATGATATTGTTATCGTTAGGTTAAAGAGAAGGAATTAAAGAAAAGTTATATAGTCGAACATGAGTCCTTTTAAGCTAGGAAAGGTTAAAAGAGTTTAAATAATATATAAATCTAATAAAAAGAGATATTTTATATATATTAAATCTGTATATCGTTTAAAAAAAGCTTCGATAATAATATGAAATGTAATTAGCTGGAATTATAAATTCTTATTAGTTTTTTTTATAGAGAGAATCAGGAGCTAAAAGTATTATTAACTTAGTATATTGTAATCAGGTTCTTCAACCTATTATTTTCTTATTATTCGATAAACTAAAGACCTTTTTTTTTTTATGGAAAATAGATCGAAAGTTTATTTTGGTTATTTTAAACTAGCTCGATTAAAGTATGATATATGAGGTTTCGATTAACCTCCCTTCTCATTAGATCTGAATTCAATTAAAAAGGTATGAAGGTAGATGAAAAAGGAAATAAAAAAGCTTTTATTTATATTTACTTTTGTTGAAGAATGAAAATATAAATTAAGGGTGTTTTAGAAGAAGATTAACCCTATTGAATTTAAAATATATATAAAAAGATTGACCTATAAATTAAATAATATAATTAAACTGTAAGGTTTAATTACTATTCATTAATACAAATATAGATTTTTATTAATAAACAATATAATGTTGAATATTTATTAAATTTATTAAAAAACCTGTGTAAAATGAGTGGTGTGCGATGAGCAAGTTCGATAACTCTTATATTGATTTGAATGTCTACATTGTACTGAATGTTCATGAATAGATGACGAAGACTAATACACAATGATGTATTTCTGGAATTGTAATATTACGGTGATATGATTTGCCGCCAGTCAATTATCAAATCTATCGTAGTATTTTCAGATATTTGTCCAATTGGTGCTGACGATTTCCATTTTGAGTATGTGGATTTGGTATCGAAGTACCTCTGAGGATAGGATTGCGTCATATAGACCTCGCTTGCAAAGGGGTCTGGTGGGTTTTGGTCTAGCTTCTTGCCTGATCACAACCACTCCTAGCCTTTTTTAAACTTCTCTACGAGACGATAGACGTGAAAGTAATTTTTGTAATAGCACTTCAAATGTATTTACCAGCTGTAAGAATATCATCTACAAATGCACTCGCTAACTTCTATATTCGCCCTTTCTTCTTAATTCCACGAATCACACTCATATCAACTATTTGACTCCAAATCAAGCGCTCAAATGCTTCTCAGTCATCTCTGGTCCTCCACCTACACCAGTCAAAATTACTCTGCTAACACCATCCTTAAGAACCTTCTGTGCTCTCTCATCAATATGTTCTGCACTCTTGCTCTCGACATCCTTTCCATTCCATCCGTCCACACCTCCAAGAACACTCTTCAACGAACCAGCGACTAATCCAAGGTGTTCCTCCTCGAAATAGATTACAGCGTTTGGACCAGCGTCAAAAGTATATGCCGCAACTGTCTTTCCAGCGGCATTGTTGATATCCTCTACAGCTCTGATTGCTGCTCTACTAACATCATTCAAATAGAAAATGGGTGGGAAAGTATCCAAACATGTTGCATGGAAACTGTTACTTTCCATCATAGTAACCTTTGCAAATCCCTCGAAATCTTTTTCCCTAATTGCCCGTTCCATTTCCTTCATATGTTCTGGAACCACAGTCTCGGCTCTCTGTTTGAAAAGTTTCGATGTCTCGACTGTGATTTGCATACCAGAGGTACTGGAAACTCCCTTCTTCTCGGCAGAAACAACGAGAATAAGAGCCCGCATGTTGGGCCAGTGAGACGCAGGTGCTACTTCCACAGCGACGGAATCAGATCCATCTTCCTTTTGACCCATCTCCCAAGCGACATAACCTCCGAACAAAGAGCGACAAGCAGAGCCACTTCCCTGTCTTGCGATTCTTGAGAGTTCGGTGGGGCTGGATTGTAATTCATACAAGTTGGCAATAGCTCTAACAAGAGCTGCAAACCCAGCAGCGGACGAAGCGAGACCTGCAGCGGTGGGGAAGTTGTTCTCCGAGATGATTCTCAAGGGGTAAGAGGAGAGTTTCGGGAGCGAGGAATCGGAATCTTCGAGGGCGGAACGGAGAGAGCGGAGCTCGCGGAAACAGGCTTGAGTGCGGGCGTTGGAAATGTCCTGGGGAGAGCCATTGAGGAGAAGAGAATCTTTGGCAAAAGTGGAGGAGCAGGAAGCGGTGGTATGGGTACGGAGATCATTTTGAGAAAGGGTTACAGAGATGGAGGAGTTGGTTGGGAGGTTTAGTTTTGCATCGCGCTTTCCCCAGTATCTGGTCGGTAAGAGAATATGTTAGTTGGGTTTCCTAGTGTGGACAATGCAGGAAGTACAATGGGAGAGAGAGGGGTAGCTTTGCTTACTTGACTACTGCGATATTAACTGGAGCCGTTGTACTGGCTTGGTAAATCTTCGTGTCTGACATTTGGACGGTGATTTGAATCAAATAAGAAGAGTAAGGATTTTGGTTTGATTTTCTGGAAGGAATATACAAGAAGTATTTATTTCCAATATTCCAATAGTCCACTTCTTAATTAAAAAGTTAAAAGAAGTCTCCTCTTGACAACAAACCCCCCAAAGTTAAAAGAAGTCAGAAGTCTCCTGTTGACAACAAGCCCCAGTCCCCCTTCACCTACCTAATCGCAAAATATCAAAGGCGGTCAACAACTACCAATCGGGATAAGTATAATCCGCTAGCAAGGCACAAGGATTCACCCATCAACAGAGCAAATTCAAGCTGGGGGGCTAATAATAATAATAATAATAATAATAACGTAGTTTATCAGTGCGTGCACCATATCAGTACGTGCACCACTTCAAAATTATACTAAAATCAGGGTTTTTTTAATATTTGTATTTTAATAATTAATTATTATTTTTTGAAAAAAATAAAATGTATGATAAAAATTATAATTTAAATATTTAAAAAATATAATTTTTATATAAATATTTTCATTATATTTTAAAAAAGATTGAAATTGTCACGATTTTCGTTACAAAAAAACTTTCTTTAAAATAACTATTATATTAAATCATATTTCTAATAGTTGATTAGAAATTCTTATTATTTATATAAATAACTATAAAGTTTTTTAGGAAAAATCAAATTATATTAATAAATAAAGAAAGTGCATAGTTACGCACAAACGAATTTTGTATATAAAATGAGTGGTGCATGTACTGATATGGTGCACGCACTGATAAACTACGTTAATAGATTCGACCAATTCAATTTCTTTCAAATGTATTAACAACCACCCCTCGCCTCCAAAAAGTATATCTTCATAATCTACACAACTATCAAAGATGTCTAAAGCAGAATCAGCTCAAGGCATAGAAGCCTGTCCAGTCGATCATGCAACACGTTCAGCATGGCTCAAAAACAATTCCACCAAACCACCTTTCCCAGGCGCAACCCCTCCATCAAAACCAGGTCCAAGTTGCGATTCTTCAACCGTTGATCAAACTCCTCCTCCTACCCATACACCTTCAGGTTTTCTGTCTCGATTATTCTTCTGGGATAATTCATCATCTACACCCTCTCAACCACCATCAACTCCCAAATCCGGAACTTCTCCACCCCGTCTAGGACTCGACCGTGAAATCTCCACGATTCCTCGCGCATCTCCTTCTCCAAATGATACCCCTTCGTCCTCTTCTCCTTCAACCTCTCATCCCGCGAACTCCGAATCCGAGTCTGGCGTTTCTGCATCCGGAAATTGGATCTATCCTAGTGAAAAAA